AAATATGTAAATAAAGAATATGGAGGCCAGGTTCTTTGGCCTTTCATCGCAAGATTTGAGATCTTTGCCATACGACTTGGCAAAACGAAATAACATTTAGCATAACTTTCACCCAAGTACAAGTATGGCCGGTAGATATTGCTTTGGGAATTTTTTAAAATGGAATCCCTATCTTAGTCTTCGCAAACTAGAGGCCACCTCAGCTGCAAGAGTTGTTGGGTTTAATCGGGATTCTGTTAACAGGTTGTTTTCACTTTATTGGTAGGTATAAACTAACACCTGATAAAAGCTCATACCAAAAGCGAAACAAGCAAAAAGGGTGATCCGAAAAAAAAATTTCATAAGTCCAACGAAAAATCGGTTTTCACAATACTGGTTTAAAATATGATAAAAATAGAAGAAAAAAAAGAAGACTAAGAGTCCTCTTTTAGTGAAGAAGAAGACGCAGTGCCTGCATTGTCACTATTTTAGCGTCAATATCTCATTTGAAAACGTTGGGCTTATTGTTTCTATGCTGCCTTTGAAGATGAAGATGAAGAAGCGGTTTTTACTCGCGAAACACGCAAGGTTTTGCATCGAGATCCATTATGCTTTCATGCGGGTGCCGTTATACCTTCCAATGAAGGCAAAATGGACCAAATGTAGTTTTATGACTTATTTCTTTTTATTAAATTTAAATTATGTTTAATATGATACTGTAAGGAAACATACTGTTACACAAATATAAGTTCAGTTTGTCAAAAGTGTTGTTCATCTTTTTTTTATCCTGGCCACAACTTTAAGGGTACCATTTTGCCTTCTGTTCCCCTATATATTTCCACAAATACGTATGATTTCAAGTCTTTTTTGAAATGACATTTCTGAAAAACTACGGTGTAATGGTTTAAAGAAAATGTTATTTGGTAATCAAATGACAATATGTAAATTATTTCAATACGAATTATATCACTAAATAAATTAATTAAAACAGTGAAAGAAAATATTCTTTCTGCACCAAATAATAATGTTTGAATAATTTCACTAAATATATTTAGCTAAATAAAGCTATCAAATAATATGAGAAGAGAAAGGCAAGAATCCCCATTACAAGCCGTCTTTTTCTATTGTAAAATTTGCTTCACTTTTCTATTACGAAGTTCACTGCTATGCTATCTTCGGTGTTATATTGTTGGGTAACAAACATTTCAATTAGTCAAACTATTTAAACTTAAAAAACAGTTTTTACATTTTTTGCTGAAACTAAAATAATTAAGAAATAAAATGTCAAAGAGACACAAAGGTACCGTTTTTTTTATCAGATCAGATTGTGACAATCTATTTTATACAATTAGTTTCAAATTTGCAACTATACCACGAGAAATGTTAATAATAGATATATTTTAGCATATGCATTCATTTTATTTGAGCCTAAAACTCAATTTTAATGGTAAAGAAAGAAATTCTATATTAATTGCCAACGCTCTGTATTTCGTAACTCAATATTAGGATAAGACCCATTCGGGTCAACAACCATTATTGTATAATTAAGCCTGTATATATTTTAGCATTAATTTGTTTATTACTATAATTATTTATTTGTTATTGCGGCGTTCTTACGTTTTTTATGGCAAAATAATGTAGAATCTTCGTACTTTTGATTAACCCGCTGCGTAAACGAATCGCCAAGTTTTAAGGGCTGTTCGCTGGCGAGACTAAAAAAGCGCGGTTAATAATAGGTGCGCGATGAGTCAGCGCTAATCTTCAACGTATTTAGATTGGAAGAAAGTGTCTTACATGGGCCGAGCCGTACGCACACGGCGGGGTCAATAAGGCCCCCGGAGTTTAGATCGCCGGAATCCGGAGTTTGCCCGGAGCGGCGCGCAAACGTCGCTAGTTAGCGAACTAAGACTGGATTTGCGCGGAGATTATCCAATCGCTGCCTTTGATCCGACGAGAGACCGCCTTCCTCATACAAGGCCGACACGTTGTACTTTCTTCGTTTACAATTTGTTGTTCTCACGATTTGTTAACAATTTCCCAGAGTTAAGCGAGCAGCGAACGGCACGGCATGCCCGGCCTCCTATCGTTGGTAGTTTTTGAGAGCCCACAATATCTTTCGCCGGATAGAAGTTTGAAATGTAATTTGAATGATATAATATTTATACATATTTATTATACAAAACGGGCGATATTTTATATTTTGCGTATTTTTAAAATTTTAAAATAAAAAATCTGTGGTTAATTTTGAAGCAATGCAATTTGCGTAATAAAGTTTTTTGTTAAGAAAAAATTATCGGTATATAACGTACAAATGTGCTCTGATATTTTACATTATTACCATTATATGGTTTGCAATTGTGTTTATTATTATGGTTTTATTTGTAATATTAATCACGCTGATTTCAAAATCATCATCATCATCAAAATTTTGAAATATCATAATACGTGGTGATTGTAATCTATTTTGATACCAGTGAATTAAAATACATCAGACTATTGTTATGAATGTTATTCATTAAAATCAAATCAAATTCGTCTATTCCAAAGATCAATTAACAATTGATATAAGAAAAGTGTGCAGGTGCAAAAAGCGTAACACGGAATAAATTGTTTACTTCTGCCATGAATTACAGCCCTAAAAAAGAAAAATTGTTTACAATTTTTAAAAGTTCTGTTTTCATCCATAATGTATTTGCCAGCAATGTATTTGCTGGCAGCTTATTATGGAATTTGGTTCCCACGTATGATATGAAACTATAAAGTGATTTCCAATAGAGAAGGTAATTCGGATTTATCTTGTTTTTATAATTGCATATTTGTTGTTTCGAATTGAAAATGCAGTGATTCGCAAAGATTTTAAAACTTCTTAGTTATTTATTGAAAATGAATTACCACATATAAAAATTTGGGCAAACATCCCTTTTCAAACATACCACAACCTTGTCATTCCATGGTATATATTTGGTCTAATAGAATCTCCAATCATTTCAACACGTTATTGCAGGTTGGCAAAAAATACACGAGGTGAAATATGAAATAAATGTGATAAAACTAATTTTGCTGGTTTTTAACACGATAAATTTGTATAATTTATAGTTATAGTTCGGAAGTACTGTGGAAGTGGTATTGTAAAGTTCACACATAACTTTGCTGGTTTTTAACACAATTTTTTTTAACAATTATTTTACATCAATTTATAGTTCAGAAGTACTGTGCATCTGGTATTATAAGGTTCACACATACACGCATACAGATTGGAAACAGTACCAACTGATAGCTTTTGTGTATTAGGGAAAATTTTACTGGTTTTCAACACAAAAAAAATTATAATTATTTTGCATCAATTTATAGTTCGGAAGTACTGAGCATGTGGTATTATAAAGTTCACACATACAAGCATACACATTAGAAACAGTATCAACCGGTAGCTTTTATGTATTAGGGAAAATTTTGCTGGTTTTTAACACAAAAAAAAATTGTAAATATTTTACATCAATTATATAGTTCAGAAGTACTGTGAATGTGGTATTATAAAGTTCACACATACACGCATACACATTAGAAACAGTACCAACTGGTAGCTGTTATGTATTACGGAAAATATTGAAGAAGGCTGATACAAAAACGGGGAACAACCAGGCAACCGAAAAATGATGGAAGTCTAAAATTTACCATTGGAATTTATTTAGACCTAAAAAACAAACCGTTCCATCAGTCTATTTTTTTATACATATCTGTAAATAGTTCCGCACCATTTGTTTAACTCAAATTGCGTTGTTTATATAGGGTATTTTGGCTTTTAAGTGGTGTCCAAATTCATCCATTAAAGTGTATTTATAATTTAGTCCGCCGTGCGTTTAAACAAACTTACACTCGCGTTATACCTAGTTTGCGTCGAACGATAAAGTTATCAGAATAATGAAGTTTCGTGAAATACAAGGTCTCGCGAGTAATAATTATATAAAATAAAAAAATGTTCAGTTTTAAAAATGTCAAAACTCAAAAATAGTGTGAAAAATAAAACGGTCTATGAATCGCTACGAATCTATTATATCTAACCGTATATACTCTCTTTAAAAAAATATATATCTCAATCACACAAACGACCCCCAGTTGCTTTTCGATATATTTAATAACAGGAAAAACACCTGGTATGATGTACATTCATTCAAGTGCTACTGCCACCCCCATCTACCGCGGCTGCACTGTAACACACCCCCCAGGTTAATACACAGCGGCGTACTTAAAAAGATCTCGCGCGTTTTCGAAAATTCGGTAACAAAGTTTTCGGCCGCGATATGCTTTTTAAACTACGCCGCTGCGTTGTAAAAAATCAAGCACATCGACATCCTGTTAGTGTCGCATTAGTGTTACGTTGCAGTCGTGAGTTACAGAAAAATAACGAACAAAAGTAGTCAGCCCAAAATAAAAACAAAAAGTAAAATCCCACAGCAAACGGTAACAATGCGTCCTTCAATCATCTTAATAACTGGAAATGGTTTGCAGTTACAGATTTTTTTTGTTATATCATTGACGTAATCACGGATTGAAGGACATCGTGCAATGTAAAATCAGTAATCACTGAGTGACAGGAATGAGCACAGTCATATTGAAGACGAAACGTTTAATTCCAATTTTATCAGATAAGGCGTTTAGTCTAGTATATGGATGTGATCACCTGGGGGGGTTCCCGTCGACTCAAAGACTACCGCGTCTTTACTGATAAGTGAAACTCAGTAACTAATCAAAAGAAAAAAAATTCACACACACACGCACACACAAACACTCATCGAAAAGAACTAACTGTTTTTACATTATGTTTGAGTTGATCTGGAGTCTGCCAAATTCGATAAAAGAATTTTCAATGGATATAGGTATCACCAACTCCTTGAGGAATAGTGGCTAGAAAATATGAAATAATCGGTTATGGTCACATTTTTATTTAATGTTCGTGATGCATACTGGAAATAAAGTCAATGCATATATCTTAGTATCAACAAGCAGATTTCTCTGTCACTTACCCATATTGGCTGGGGAGCAGGGTTTGATAAGCTGCAGTTCTCACGCTTGGAAATGGGAAGCCTGTAACGAAATAAAATTTACTAGAAGAAAACTGTTATCGGAGTTTCTTCGGATGATAATATCAGACGAGCCGAAATAGTTTGGAAACACCGGGTGACATAAGATGTAGGCACGCCTGTATTTTTTCCATGTTGATTTCGTATCTTAATATAGTTTAACCGGAAGCGATGTCAAGAAATCCCCAATTCTGTTAGGATACGCGAAATCTATGTGAAATTCTTGTTTAAATAATGTAAAACACGTTAATATTTTTTTCGTCGTCAAATGGCAAACCTTAACTTAAATGCCAAAGAAAAATAGAATAGAATGTTTTATGTGCTCAGTGTTAAACATGAAAGAAGAGGTTATAGTAGAGAGAAACTTTTCATTTTATTATTGCCATAGCCTACCTTCAAAACTATTTAGCAGTAAATTCATTGCTAACTAAGTTTAGCAGTCATTATTCACGTTTTATGCATAATTTTCACTAGACTTTTATCACAGACTAAATGGCTCAAAAAATTAATTCAACATGTTTATTGCTGTAGAAAAAAGTTGAAGCGTAAATAGTACTATTATTTATTACATATATTACTATCTATTATATTACATTTGGGTTGTGGAAAATTTTTGTAGATGTAAAACCTCGTCACAATCGTCGTCACCTAGTTTATGTACCAATGAAATAAAGACTTTTAAAGCTATGAATTAATTAAGTTATTTGGGAGTGGGAAATTAGGATAGCTGTAACTAACAGAATTTAAAAAACTTGGTTTCGTTGGAAAAACAATTTCGTGCTCCAACAAACCTATGAGAGAAAATTGCAAAATTCTCTCAAAAAATTGAATGCAACAATATGAATTTTTTTTTCATAAAAAAGATGTGGAAGGTAATTTTAATAGATCTCAGTATTTATTAGTTCAATTCAAATAATTTCTAAAAATAAACGGTTTAAGATATCTACAGTCTTTCTAGTGATTTTGAAATTGCTCAAAACGAAAATCAAAATCAAGTGTACGAAAGATTAGACAAAATAAGTGTTTCCATTTAGTAACTTCTAGTTTGCACATTTGGTTGCAAATTTTAACACGAGAAACGTCAATGTTAGAACTATTGAATGGATTGATGGAAAATTTCAAAAAATAGTTTATAATATTCGCACTACGTGGTCATTTTTCAAGCAATCATTTCCCGAAGTAGTTTGTTCTTAAATTTTAAAATTATTCCAAACCCAGAAAAAATATAATTTTTGTCAAAAAAATTAAAACATCCCGTAAAAAAAGGGGTAATAACTTCAGTCACGTTGCTTGAACTTACAGTGGACCAAAAGCTAAATCGGAAAAACCACTGGCAATTTATCGCCAAAACTAATCTCGTACGAAATTTAAAATAAATGCAAACAACAAGGCAAATTATTAATATGTATTAATAGCATATATCGTGAGGAAGGATCTCCTCCGAAGCAGAAGGTGTCTTCAAAAGCGAGAAGAGGGCCCTTAAGACCATCCTTGACTTGAGGCAGATTGTAAAGTAGCCAATTGTTCACTTTGGCCGTTATTCTTATTTTCGAACTTAGTATTCACATTTATGAATCAAACACCGGTTTATATTAAATTGTAAGACAAGATAATTTAAGAGTCCTCTTTAATCGTCTAGACTGTCCACAGAACTCTTGATTCAATGATAATAAAAATCTTTAATCTACTGTCTATTCAAAAAGAAATCGAATTAAATCAGTTTCTCATAATGGCTTAATGAGTTTTCTAGTTTCTTTCAAGTATCGTTTATGTAGCATCATTACTGCTATTCTTTTTGCCGTATATAATTTTTTCCATACATTTTAATGTCTGACGGAAATAAAAGTAATTCTAATTTTAGTTCTGAGCATCTTAAAATTTAATTTAATAAAAAAAAACACAATTTTTTGCACCCCTTATACGGAGCCGTATCTCCTGAAACGGAATGTTTTTTGAAACACCTAGTATATAAGCCTATACATAACAATAACAAATATTTATTAGAAAATTTTCTAATATTTTCCAGTAACCAAGTTCCAGAAAGTGGAAGTTTTTGAAAATATTTTATAGATAAAAATAGAAAAAAGTTAATAGAAAAACTTAAAGGACAAACCTTGTAGAAGATAATCATAATTCTTAATCGCTTAGTAATATCCCGTGTTTTTGCATATCCCTTCGGTTTTGAATCACCCTGTATAGCGGTTAAGTAAAATATATGAAAACACGCATATACCGGGTGATTTTTTTGAATGATAATAATGAAACTTTTGCTGAGTCTTTTTTCATTGACATAATACAGGGCGACAAACTTAATTTAAAAATAATATTTTTCAAAATAAATAAGAACTAAAAGTTCAAATTTTCACGAAATTATATATTATGACGTGACAATTGTTTCGACAATATCAATTTTGAAGTTTTTTAAATTCTGTTAGTTACAACTATCCTGATCTCGCTCCCCCAAATAACTTTATTAAATCATAGCTTTAAAAGCCTTTATTTCATTGGTACATAAACTAGGTGACGACGTTTTAAATGTAGAAAAATATTCCACGGCCAAAATGTAATGTAATAGATTGTAATATATGTAATAAATAGTAGTACTATTTACGCTTCAACTTTTTTCTACAGCAATAAACATGTTGAATTAATTTTTTGAGCCATTTAGTCTGTGATAGTGAACTTAAAATTTGAAATCGAAATCCCCAATTTTTTAGAATATTCGAAGTCTATGTGACAGTCTAGTGAAAATTATGTATAAAATGTGAATAATGACTGCTAAACCTTAGTTAGCAATGAATTTAAAGCTAAATAGTTTTGACGGTAGACTACGGCAATAATAAAATGAAAAGTTTCTCTCTACTATAACCTCTTTTTTTTATGAAATTTTTAACATTGAGCATATAAAACATTCTATTCTGTTTCTTCTAATTTTTTCTTCGGTATTTAAGTTAAGGTTTGCCATTTGACGACGAAAAAAATATTAACCGCTTAGTAATATCCCGTGTTTTTGCATATCCCTTCGGTTTTGAATCACCCTGTATAGTGGTTAAGTAAAATATATGAAAACACGCATACACCGGGTGATTTTTTTGAATGATAATATTGAGACTTTTGCTGAGCCTTTTTTCATTGACGCCCCCGTTTTCTATAAAACAAATATATAAAATAATATTTTTCAAAATAAATAAGAAATAAAGACACGGTGTTGTCGAAACAATTGTCATGTCATAATATATAATTTCGTGAAACTTTGAACTTTTAGTTCTTATTTATTTTAATAAATGGATTTTCATCAAGTAAAAGCCACCTCAGTTCAATAATATTTTTATTTATTTTATATTTTTATATAATTTGGTGAAACATGATATGCGGCATTACCACTTGAACGTTGATATATTTTTTAAATATTAAAAATTTCTTCCCAATAGTCCGGTCAAAACGATCCCCATGTAGCTACCGAATACCGTGTGCTCCGCCAGTGGCTAATTATGTATTAATTCGATCGTGGCTGTGGTATACATACGTTCGAGGGAAGTATTTTGGTGAGGGATGCGTGAAAGAAACACTGCCGATAACTAAATAAATTGTTGTTTTGGGTGGGCGCTCGTGTGTAAGTGGGCACATCCGGGTAGACCGGAAGAAACGCCGGTCTATGCCACCGAAAGGGTCAGGGGAATCCGTAAGCCCGTGCCTATGCGAATACGACACTTACGAAGTATCACCTTATTTTACGCATCATACCGGATTTAAACGTTATATACGTAAACGATGTCGAAACAAAAATTTAAACAATTTCTCACTGACGTTGTACGGGTAAAGCCGAAAGGTGGGAGATTAATGCCTTTTGGTTCTTAATTATTTTAGTTTCCGCGATGATTCATTTATATCGGTAGGTAATCTATTTTCCAGGAAAATTTATTTTTGCTGATTTCGAGAGAAAATCCTACTCCTCTCTTTATCTGTGGCCGGAGTTTATATAATCGATGCCAAATTGTGACTAGGTCTGGCTTGGTGATTAACGGACTTGTGGTCTATACAGTCAGAGCAACAAGTAAAGGAAAAATGTTTATATATTCTCAAATATTGATTTCCAAAAAAAAAACGTTCTATATAAAGAAAAGTTTTCATTTTTTTTAAATGATATGCATTTTTGGAACCTTCATTGTGATTTCACCACAGAAAAATTGCAAAAATTTAAAACCATCCCTTGCAGTTGAATTGAGCTGTACAATTCTAGTATTTGCAATTAGTCAATTTTTGCTTTACGTCAGTCTTCTTTCATTTAAATTGTATAACCCTAAACCATTGAAAACAAAAATACTCCCAACGCACCTTAAAAGAAACGACCTTTTGAAAAATGGAGAAAAAACAAAGTTTTTTCTAAAGAAGTGTTTGAAGATATACAGAGTGAGTCAAAAGGTCAAAGGGTCAAAAGGTCAAAGGGTCATCCCATGTATGACAAATTCTCTGCGTGACTGCTATTTTTAGTTTTAGAGCAATGGTTTTATTTTTAAATAAATGTTTTTATTTAAAAATATCGCAGTTTTTCACATAGTTTGTTTAAACTTGTGTATATAATTGTCCTTTTGGGTGATACTTTTCAGGTAAATTTTGTAAATTAATAAGGGCAGAAAAAGAGGGTACCTTATTATTCCCCTGGACGCCTATGGTCTTAAAACTTAACGTTTACTGGACCCCTTCCTTTACATGATGTTTTCTCTTTTTTTTTGTTTCTTATTTTTAATATCAATTGCATTGTTTTAAATATTCTTACTATAAAAAATTTTGTAGCCCTTTGTAGATATTTTAAGTTCTCTTTGTTCTGTATTTAATATTTAATGAAATTAGACCAATTGTTCATTGTTATTCCGACTACTGCCAGTTATCTACTACTGCTCATTTTTAGCTTTTAAATTAATAATTGTGTACAATATCTCAAAAGCTACAATTGTTATCAAAAATAATCAAGAAGGAAGAATATTATTTAAAGCAAAGGGTTTAATCAAGAAAATAGGTTTTAAGATATAATTTATAGTGGTAATACTGTCCAGAACACTCCTTTGTTCAACAAGGTAATACCGCATGCCAAGTTTCAATAAAATATGCAAAAATATGAGTTATGAATAAAAATATTATTTTTTAAATCAAGTTTGTGTATTATAGAAAACGGGGACGTAAATGAAAACAGGTAAAGTACAGGTCTCAATATTATCATTCAAAAAATCACCGCGTGTTTTCATATATTTTACTTAACCGCTATACAGGGTGGTTCAAAACCGAAGGGAAATTCAAAAACATGGGATAGCACCCAATAAAATCAGTCTTATACTAATGTTGCTAGTTTACGAAGCTGTGAAAGATATGTTTTACAAAAAAATTAAAATTGCTATAAGTACAGGTTTACTCATTTTATTGTAGATCCTATAGGGCGCTAAGTGTCGCCAATTAAACCAATACGTATTTTTTTATCTGTAAATGGAACAAAGTTAAATAGAAAACATATATACTTGTACAATTGTGACGAGAACCAAGAATACATTTTCTACAAGGTATGCCCTGTAGGTTTTTCTATTAACCTTTGTTCTATTTTTAACTAAAAAATATACAACATTTTTGGTTTATGAATTGGTTACACCTATCGCCCTGTATGAAATGCATTAAAATCATTTAAAATTCCGATTTTTCACCTAAAATACCTTCGGATGTCAATTTTCATGTTGCACTGCCAATATTAGTATTACTATGCTGTATCTCCGGTTTCTGGATGCCCCTATAGTTTTGAATTACCCTGTTCAAGTTTGAAAAAAAATATTAGAAAATGTTCTAATAAACATTTGGCTATAATAATATGGTTTTGAAACTTGTTATTGTTATATATAGGCTTATATTTAATTAAGACGCATGCTTGGAAGGACTACTTTTCAAAAAATCTATAAACGTATATTAATTAATCAGCTTCGAGACGTTTTTAAACAAGGAAACAAATAACACTTGATAGAATATTTTAGGCTGACGCATGTTCCAAAGGTTTTTATATCAGATTGAAAAAGAAATAAGCAATTCGCATTTTCATCGGTAGCGATAAGTATCAAGTTGAGCAATCTAATCAATTAAGTTAATAAAAGGCGCGAGATAGCACATAAATAACGAACGTTAAAAATAAAGGGATGCGTTATATTACCAGTGGGTACATTTCCTCTGGGTTTGGCTCCAAGAATAGCTAAATTTACGTTGGCCTTTCTTCCATCTATTATTGGATTCGGTTCCTTACAGGCTCTCTCAGCCGATGCTCTGTCGCCCATTATGACCTGAAACAATCAAAACGGGTGCTGAAATATTCATTTTCCACTTTAAGTGTGTGCCGTCTTGTCGAGTTTATTTAAGGTATTTATTTATCCAGTTCGAATTCGAAATGTCACTCTAAACCACCCGATAATGATTAAAAATACGAATCGATGTAATAGTAACCAATTTTTTTAATGACTATTAATAAAAATATAAAAAAATAATTAATTTAATAGCTTTGGTCTCGAGACTAATCTAATAGTTCTATGTGGACTAGTGCTCAGTTTTATTTTATTTTTTGTATTTAATAGATTTTTTAAAGCAATATTCAGATAGTTTTTGCGTTTTATGACATAAAATGGATAAGAAATCGTAAATCTAATGTCATCACTTAAACTATTCAAAAATTTAGATGCTAGATGACCAGGATTATGTAAACGTTTTTTTTTTTTACTTTTTTATGTAGAGTAGCTAGATTATAAGAAGCCTAGACATTTTATTAATTATATATTATAAATTATTTTGCTATCAGGTTAGCCATTTTATGTTAGCGACTAGGTTCGGTCAGATCATCAAACGATAAAAAGATATTCTTTGTTTGACATTTTGGACATAATGTAGTTATCAATATTTTATTAAAGGTTTTACTTTTAAATAAAAGTTGTATTTTACAAACCAATTAAAGTACTTCACTCAGATTGTTAAACTGCCAAATATGGATGGAATAAATTCAATACTTGGGGTTTTTGAAATGCACAATTCAAAAAAGCTAACAGCAATATTACTTTTGTTATTTTAACATTTTGCTTCTATTAATTACAGCACCATTGCTTTTTCAGAAAAAGTACCGGAACGTTTAAATATATCTAAAACTGCCAAAAATGGAAAAATATAATTTAATACCTGAGGGATTTTGAACATTCAAAATTCAAAAATGTTAACAGCAGCGTTGTCAGATTGACCATTGTTAATAAAAAAATCATAGCTTCTCAGAATTTTTGAGGCTTTAAGAACATGGAAAACTTTAGAAGTGTATTAGTGAAAAGTTACCAGAAATGTAAATATCATGTCAAAATAAATAGGGCATTCCATATATAATAATAAAATTATGACCTCTGGTGTAAATATATAATGACTAAAACAAATTGATTTTAGTCATTATTATCAAGTAGTTTTCATAAAATTCATTCGATCAATAGTGGAATCTCGAGAATTAAGTAAAAATGACATCGCCTGTGGTAATGTTATATCATTTCCTTTGAAATCAAAAATTACCATATTGTCAGCAGAGCGGTTAAAGACCTTTCGCACGAACAGATGTTTGCTCACCCTCCTTGTGTACCTACATAGTGGTACCCTGCTTTGAGAAGGGTTCTGGGTGTCGCGTGCAAAACGGGCCACATATAAATTTTCTGATACAATATTTTGATCTTTTTTTGGCTCGTAGCGTTTGAAATAACAATTTATTATAACAATCATTACACATTTCTGGTGCTTTGTATTTTGCGAGGTTTTCGGTTTTTGTCTTTTTTTTTCAGTTTTTATGAAATTGAATTTGTTGGCTGTTTTCTACGTGCTGCCACGTCAAATTAATAAATAAAACAAAATTCGTAGTTAGTTAATAATTATAAAAATTGTTGAAATAATTATTGTGAAAATATGTGCAAATTATAGATTGAATTTACTTTTTAAAATTAATTTATTTTAAAGTACAAAAAATATTTTGATAAGGTCTCCGAAGGAAGGAAGTTTTATGCGGTGAAAGAGAAATTTTTAAGCCCCTGGTAAAAAGGAAATTTTAATAAATTAATTCAAGCATCGACTGCGTAAATAGTTTACTGATCATGCTTATAACCGTTGCCACGGGAGTAACTTTTAGAGAAGAGGGTTAATACTAGGGGAAGCTTTGCAATTTCATTTACATCCCCGTTGAAGGTAGGACAACCCGCCTCACTTGCACCACTGGGAGTCGAACAAAGTCTAAAAGGGCAGTTTTAAAAAATGACTAACAATTCTTTTTTTTTTTTTTCATTTAAGCATATCGCCTAAACAATACTAATTTGAAAATACAAAAATAATTTTTGTTTTTTGCTTTCAGATGGCAGACGTTAAGGTAAGAAATAAATGGATTCAATACCGAAACATCCGTATAAATTCAAAACGTAAAGCCCAAATTTGGGGCTACGCCAGAACTTCATTGGGTTAATAAAAATTCGAGATCGCAAACATTTATACAGCTGGATTTATCGGTATCAAATGTAAGCAGCATCATATGTTTCGCGAATTTTTGTTGAAAATTGCATTTTATGTCTCTAATTCGGGGATTTTTTTCGATGCCGAATTTACGACCCCGTGTTGTATATATCTTTATTTAACAAATAATTCAGACGCGTATGGAAATTTATTTTGTAAAAGCGTCAGAAAAATTACAGGTTACGTTAAATTTTTAAATTTCCAGTTCCAAAAACCACCCGCTCGGGGTCGATGGTGGGTAATTAACCTAATTCGTCAACGAAAATACACCAAACCACAACTTCTTTAAATAGATTTTATTGTTTTACGCACTTTCTTTATATATACAAATAGGCAAAAGGCAGATAATAAAAATATATATTTTTGGGACTTCCTTTATACAAACGGACGCGTTATAAGACCTCACGACACGTTGCCAGCACCCTCAATTTTTTAATTACGATAAATTTTACGCATGCGCCTTCGCAAATATTAAACCGATTTTTAAAGTCAGTATAACGTTTGTGAATAAAAACGTCACGCCCGAATTTAACGTTGCGCCAAAAAAATGGCGCCAACCGAACAGTTGGCAACGCTGTTTTTACAATGGAACTGTTGTCGAGATCACCGGTCCCAAACATCTGGTGTAGATACTGTAATGGTGGAAATATATGTCCCCTTCACACATCAGTTCATTTATTTATAGGGGGTAAGTTGACGACGAATACGTTCACCCCAACTAGGTATGTAATTACAGTGCGAGTCGGGAAACTGCGAGCGAATTAACCGTCTGGATTATCGCGAAAACGAAGCAACGCGCAAAATATTTTATTTAAACAAATTCGACTAAACGGCACGCCGAATAACGGTACAAAATTATGCAAAGCGACGGTGTTACCTTTAGATATCGCGGCTTATCAGTGAAACGCACGATAACCGTAAATTGATAAAAATAATCGACAAGAACTTTCTTAAACAATGGCGATTCAAAAACAGTACCCGGCTATATTAATACTGTTTTTGATATTATCAAAATTAGAGACGAAAATATTACGAATTTAAATAATAACTCTTAATCATTTCGGATTTGTTTATTTACAGGGTTACCACAAAATGTACACCTAACATTTCCCTGACTTTTTCAGTTTCTCCCATACCTTTAAAATAAAGCTCCAAGCAACAAAAGAGTTTTCCTATATAAAATTATTTACGCCGTACAAAAATCAAAATCAAAATGATAAACAAACGGCTCATAGAAAGCAATACAATACTATGAAACGTGGGAGTACATACAGGATGTTTCAAAAAAGGTTCCGTTAATTTGTAAGGGTATGTAGCATATTCGACAATAATAAACACTTATCCCAAAATGTCTTCCGCAGAAGATATGGACACTGTAAAGAGGGCCTCAACAATCATTTTTTTAACTCTATTTCTGAAACGGTTCAAGATTGAATGGAATAGAAAAGTTGTTCATTTAGAAGCTGGTTAGAATAGACATTTTACAGTGTTACACTTTTACAAAAAGAAAAATGCACATAACCCATAAAGTTAGCTATTCCAGATACCCAAAGTTCTGTAATAAAAGCACTGATACTTTCCGGCCACAAATACCTTTGCTTGAGCCATCAAATTAATTATAATTAAACCTCAAATAACTCCAAAACCTGTAATTTTTTTGATCTTAAACAAGAGTATCTGTTATGCTCAAATAATTAAGAATATGCCCATTAAAAAAAATGGGAGTAGCAGCTTCTGTACTAAATTTGGCAGCAGCAAGTTTTATCACCTAATCAAAGGTAATCTAAATTTCCTTTAGGTATCCCAAGGCGTGTCAAATCGATTGCTTGAAGAAATTTTGCAAAAAATTGTGCTTGGTAGAATGTTTCCCGCTTTCCCTTGCTATTAATAGTGAGTGACTATATGTGTGGTCCTTGAAAAAAAGATCGAATAAAATATAGAAGAAATAAAAACGAGGGGCAATGGAAAACTCTAGGCCGACATCTATACTACCTGACTTTTTCAGGTTTTTCGGGTTAGTAGGAACCCCTGGTCTACTGATAAGAATAAGAATAAATATATATAATCTAAATCGAGACACTTAAAACTTTTGTGTAATAACGTTTTATCAGGCAAATTTATTTAGATATGATAATCAGCTTGTCGCATCGATTGGAAACCCCACTTTCGAAAGAATCAGTGAAAATCAACGTAGGTACTTACAAATCCGTATCCTCTGCTTTTCCCTGTTTGTCTATCGGTGATTACCACTGCTTCTTCGATTTCGCCGTAGACCGCGAAATGATCCCTCAATGACTTATCGGTTGTGTGGTACGGTAGTCCACCGACGAACAATTTCGTCCACGTGGTGTCCTTGTTTTGGATACCGGTACCGTTCAAAGTACCGGCGGTACTCAAAACACCCAATCCAGTTAATCCCAAGGTGTCACCTTCCGGCGAGGCTATGCTCGCACTAGGCATTAGCATGTTCTGAAAATAATAACGATTATGTACCACCTATCGTCCACCATAAACGCCATCAGTTAAATCTGTTAAATGGCAGAAATTTTCTCAAGATTTTCTTCGTTTCGTCAGAAGAGTTCGAATTCTGAATGGCGAATATTATATAACACTTAATGAAAAATTTCAAAAATGATTTTTTTAAACCCTGAAAAGAATGAAAGCACTGAAAATGTAAGCAAGAAAACACCACAAATCAAGACTCAGCAAAATTTACAAAATACGCGAATCAGAGAACTGTCAACTTGTAGTATGAATGTCTCAAAATTTACAGGTGTTACATCTAGTATTTTACTCATTAAGTATTTTAATAGCGTATGAGGGCGAAGGTTCCTTAAATGACACAAACAAATAGGATTTAACGAGTTGTTTTCTTTTTGATTAGTTTTGGTCAGTGATGGTACTATGTTTGTTCGTTTTACCTTCGGGAGTTCTTCAGCGGGCTCAGTGACAGTGGCCACGCGTTCGTCGTTGGCACGCGCGATATCTGTCGGTCTTGCCGGTCTACTTCCTAGTGGATTGACGATATTATTTATGTACTCTTTGGTGAAGTTACTCCGGCGATCTCGCATAAGGGAGCAGGTCGTTCAGATTTGCACATAAATTTCCCGTAGGATACGTAGACGCGAGCGGCTCGGTTTATCTCTGATGACGGTGCGCACCGTTTCGAGACGCGAACTTAAACGGCGAAACGTGCGTAAACCAACCAACCACCGTTCGGACCGATTTTAATTTTAGACAACACCGCGACACGGCACAGCTGTTCACGCGTCTGCAGTTGCGGAGATTAAAGGACCAACTGACAACAACTAAACGAACTTAAACTACGTACGGACGGACGGGCGAATGTCTAAACGTACGCGCCGCGTTTGCTACGTACACATGCGACGTATGTGAGCCAAACCTAACGCTTCTGTTGCTCAAATGCGAATAGAATCCGCGGGATATATAGGCTGTATGCCGGTAGGCAAGGCGCCCCCTGCTTTGTACTGTTAAGCTGCACGGGACTCAGTGGTGGTACGTAACCCTATTGCCCAGTGCCGGCGCGCGCGGTTTTTAATTTCTTCTTCTTCTTTTTCTTATTCCTACCATAAGCCCAATGATTTGTGTTCACTGGGTAATATTTAATCTTATTTGTGATTCTGACGACCAGCTATCTTGCCATCTTTTTTGTGGTCTTCCTCGTGATCTTTTCCCCTGTTGTGATATTTGGTAATCTGCGCTCTTCTATTCTCGCTACGTGTTGATCCCAATTTCTTCTTCTCTCTCGTCCCCATCTTACTATATCTTGAATATTACATTGTTGCCGGATATCTTCGTTTCTTACATGGTCTTGTCTAGTCTTTCCTGTTATGCATCTTGTATTGGTCTTATACATGTTATATAGATTCTTGTTTTCGTTTCTATTCCTAGATGTTTATTTCTCCACACTATATCACTTAATGCACCTGCTGTGGCTGCTGCTTTCCTTACTTGGTATATCGGCTCTTGGTAAATATCTCGGTGGCTTGTTACACCTACTCCTAAGTATCTTGTTGACATTACTTGCTTTATGATTGACCCTTCTATCTCCAGCTTACATCTTATTGGTTCCTTAGATACTGTTAGACATTCAGTTTTCTCTGTTGATATTGCCATAATGTGTTCTTTTGCGGTTTTGTTAGATATTAGATATCAGTACCGCATCATCCGCGTAACATAGAATCGTGATATTTGTGTTTCCTATTTTGTATCCTGTTAGTCTTTTAACTTTTTCTATCATTTTGTCCATAATCAGGTTAAATAGAAACGGACTTAAGCTGTCCCCTTGTCTTATTCCTGTGTTTACCTTTATTTCTTCAGATACCTTTCCATCAGCTTTTATTTTAGTGGAGCAGTTGTAATGCAATTCTTCTATGATTCTTATTTTTTTAGAAGATACATTTTTAGTATACTATGTCATTAAGTCGTATTTTACCAAACGCTTTTGTTAGTTCCACGTAACACATGAGGATAGGGTTGTTGTATTCTATTGACTTTTAAACTAACTGGCGAATTATAAATATGGCCTCTGTTGTTGATCTGTTCTCTCCAAAATCCTTGCTATTCTTCGCATAACGGAATTGTTGCTCTTAGTTCTTCGGCTATGATTTTCGTGAAAATTTTTTGTCTTCTTTTTTAAATATTAATGTAGTCAAACTTTTGTTCCACTCTAGAGGTACCTTTTCTTCTTTAATTATTTTATTGAAAATTTTTGTTATTTCCTTTATTAGTTTTGGTCCTCCATATTTAATTTGTTGTTTGTAATTTGTTTGTGTTTTTTCCAGGTGCTTTTCGTTTTTTCAGTTCTCGTATTGCGTTCGTCATGTCGTTTTCTGTTATTATACAATTTGAGACCATTGTTTCCGTTTTGTCTTGAGCATTATTTTGTATTGAGCTGTATAGATTTTATGTTTATGTTTTCCTTTTCTATTTTCATTTTATTTATTTAGTCGTAGGTTTTTTTAATCGCCAGGCAAATTTGTTGTTATTATTATGTTATGTTACTTTTAAGTGCTTGTAAAAACCTCATCGTCTAACTAGCTGCCATTTTTCGGGCGTGTTTCCTGAATTCTTTTTTAAATTACATTAACTCAATACATAATCGTATAAAATTCACTATCGAGATTGAACAAGATAACTCTATTAATTTTTTAGACTTAACTATTACAAAAGTGCAAAACAAATTAGATTTTTCAATATATCATAAACCTTGACACACGGACACAGTCATACATAACAGCTCAGATCACCCTTATACACACAAAATGACTGCATTTAACTCTTTTATACACAGACCTCTTAATACGCCACTCTCAACAGAAAATTACAACAAAGAACTTAATATCATTAAACAAATTGCGCTGAACAACGGCTACAATCCGTCCATTATACATAAAATTATAAATAAGAAACAAATACAGAAAACAGTAAACTCTATTTATCCGAAATCTAATACAGAACACGAACAATTTAAATCAATTACATACATAGGGGAACCTAGTGATAAAGTTTCAAAACATTTGTCAAAATGTGGTTTAAAAATAGCTTTTAGAACTAACAACACAATAGGAAAATATTTAAAAAATAATAAATCGAAATGTCCAAAATCCCAAAAATCAGGTGTCTACAGGTTGAAATATGTATCTTGTCCTAAAATTTATATTGGACAAACAGGTAGATCCTTCAAGAAGCGCATTAACGAACATAAAAGAGCGTTTAAAAACAATAGTCTAGATTCTAATTATGCTAAACACTTAAACACAGAAAAAAACATTTTTGACGACAATTTTAATATATTACATACAGCCACAAAAAGTAGAAAATTAAATTTATTGGAAGCCATGGAGATTAACAAAATGAGACATTCAAATGTATTGCTTAACGATCAATTAGATTTAAATACCTCTCCTTTATTGAACTTAAATTCTCGCAACAACATTAATTAAGGTTTTATGGTCATTTTTCGGTATATATAGTAGCAGGTAGTTTGTAAATATTACATTTGATAAATACACGGTGTTGTCGAAACAATTGTCAGGTTAAAATATATAATTTCGTGAAAATCTGAACTTTTATTTCTTATTTATTTTGATAAATGGATTTTAGCAATATAAGCAAGTGGTTTAAGTATAATCGACCAACACTAAAAAACAGTAGGAGACAATTTCTTCCTTTTGTATCTTACTCTAATACTCTACCACGCTTTGAAATCATCAAACTGGAACAAAATAATGTAATTCTAAAGATTTTCTTCTTGGGGTGCCACATTTCAAAAGTCTCAGCGCTATACGACATCACCGGCCATACGTGAGACTGAATTACCCATATCTTGGCGTGTAGCCGCATATTTCTATGCAGGAGTAAATTCGTAAGTTTAAAGAACGTTGTTTTTGCTGGGTCAATTCTTCTCTTAAATTCTTCATCGCAATCCCATCCCTCATTGGGGAAGGCGCCAAGATAAGTAAAATTTGCCACCAGTTCGATATTCTCTCCATTGATGTGGTACTGGTGTTTGCTGAGCACCATCATTTTAGTTTTTGCGACGTACAAGGTTGTTAGCCAGAATTGCGGTGTTTACAAAGCAGATATTATTTATTGGACGCCGTTTACTTTAACACCTCGTGTCTCATTCTCCAAAGCCACCCGAAAGATTTTTTTAACATAGATGTTAAACAGAATGGGTGATAGTACACAATCCCTGTCGAATTTCCTTCAATACGCTGAACGTCTATGTTGTCCGATCACCATCAATAGGGATCTCAGCAGACTGCTGCCAAAAAGGTTCCTTAATTGTTCTAATATCCTTGTCATCGACGCCTATCTCCTGTAGTCTCTGCATCAACGGTTCGAGTTTCACATTGTCAAAGGCCCTCTGATAGTCAATAAAGCAGATGAAAACATCTTGCTTTTGATCATAGCATTTTTGCACAAGTAGTTTCACTGAGAGGAAAGCTTCCCTCCTGCCAAGACCCTTGATAAAGCCGAACTGTGTGTCGCCATTCATCTCTTCACACTTCCTGTATATTTTAGAATAGATGTCTCGGAGAAAAGTTTTAAGTGCATGACTCATTAAGCTTACAAGTTTCCGCAGTTTTTAGGATTTTTTTTCTTTGGAACGATAGACGTGGACTTTAGCCAATCCTGTGGGATTTGTCCAGAATCGTATATCATATATATAGTGGTTTAATGTCAGTCTGCTTTAGAACCTCAGCATATATATTATCATGACCTGGCTTTTTCCCGCTCTTCAAACAAACTGACTTTGCAAAATATTTGAGTATAATTATTGATAGTCATCTGAGGTGGAACAATCAAATTAAACATTTGGCTAATAAAACAAGATTTCTAGTGACGGTATTTTAATGTTTCAAAGATTACTTAAACATGCATTATCTTAAACAAGTTTACCACTCCCTCGTTCAATCGCAAATAAATTACGGGATTATGATTTCAGAAGGAGTAAAAAATTGTGGTTTGGAAGAAGTAAACGTTTTGAAAAAAAATGGGTTATAATATTTTATATAATGAAACCAAAATATTATAATCCGTCAACCTTACTTCAATAGTGTGTTGTTATCCATTCACAGAAAAAAAACTTTGTGTTTCTGGCCCCAAAGTTTTTGAACTTCTTACCCAAAAAACTTAAAGACACTGCATATGATAAAATTTTCAAAGAATTTCATAGTGTTTGCTAGCGTTATCTGAAAAATTGTTTTAGTGTAAAAAAAACCATTGTAACTTTATCTCGATTGTAACTAAAGTAAACTCAACCTGTGACTGTATTCTAGATTGAAAATGGCCTCCTTTCGTTATATTAAGTTTGAACCAGCACTAACAAGCAATAAATATTGCTTCTGTGTTGAACAGTTTGTTCATTAATGTATTATTTTTATTATGTACGTTATGTTAACATTTATTTTGATGAAAAAACTAAAAGAAATAAAATAAATCTGTATCTATCAAAAGGAGAATTAAATGCCCACGTTAATTGTAGTTGCCGACACATCCATCCACAGCTAAAAATTGTTCCTCCTTCAAGGTTGTGTAAAATATCATCATATCTTGGTATAAGGAAAAATGTATTTATTTAAAGATTTTGGGTCTAGACATGGTCTTTGCATATTCATCAATGAATTAACCCAATCAGTTTGCTAATCAATTTTAGAAATGTGTTTTTTTCTTCAAGACTCTTTCAATTCTTGTGTAAAGGCAAGGGTCTGTATCACTGGTATCATCGTATTATCGTGATCTTTAGGTAAAGGGTTCATTGACTAAATATATATTTATAGTGGATTGTATCTTAGAAATCGCCATAGTCAATACTTAACCATAGAATCACAGCGAAGGATTCAGCATTAATATCGACAATCCAAAATTGTATGTTCTTAAGTTG